GATGATGATTATGATGATGATGATGATGATGATGATGATGATGATGATGATGATGATGATGATGATGATGATGATGATGATGATGATGATGATGATGATGCCGGTGATGATGATGATGCTGATGATGCTGATGAGTGTCTCACCAGACGCCCTCACAATTTATGCAGGAATAGCGCACTCGCGTTGTACTTCCTCGCAATGTATGGAGACGCTGCGCCCTCAACACTCAGGAATCACGCTCTCGCTTTTGGTCTTCTCATTATGTACTTGGGAATCGCGCTATTGCTAAAGACTTCCTTGTGATCTATGAAGCACTGACGCTTCAGTGACCCGCCCGCTCGACCCCGCCGTCTGGGTCTGCTTGCCCGATTCGCCCGTTAGGGTCCACCCGCCCGACCCGCCTCTCTGGTTCTGCCGCTTGTATTTGTGCTCCGTACCCCTCCGCTTCTAATCTCTGTCGTGCTCCATCAATCTCTTTTCCTGTTCTCCCTTCCTCCTCCCTGTTCATGTTTTGAGGGCTGCGTCAACTACACGTGGCAGGCTATGCCTGTACCTGTGCCGCCGCGCTCGCGATGGAGTTCTTCCGCCTCTGAGCGCCCCCTCCGTCCTCCTCCGCGGCCGCCCCGTCTCGCTCAGTCTCGTTTCTTGAACGATAGGCAATTCGCTCTTCAGTAGCCCCGTTTAGCCCGACCGCTGGTCCGGCAGTTTTGCCTCGCCGACGACGGGAAAAGTGTCCAGCGTCAGTGCCAGTGGTTCCGAGTGTGTGTGGGTCTGAGTGCGAGTGAATTTGAGCGCGGTTGTGTCCGAGCATGGGTAGTAAGTCGGAGTATGCATGAGTTGGGTATCCATGGGTTTGAATGCGCGTGATCTGAACGCGGGCAGTGTGAATATGAGCGAACCAGCACATGAATAAATCGTGTGTGAACGCGTTGTGCGCATGAGCCTGAGTATGCCTAAGCTCAGTCCGCGTCGAACTGATTGTGGGTAAGGGAGTCAACCAGCTGCTTCTGGGCGCGAGCGGGCCAGTGCCCCCCTTATTGGCCGTCGCTGAGGCGTCTGCCTGCAACGTCTGACTGCAACGCCTTCCGCAAGAGGCGACTCCCATTCGCAAAACGAGCAAACCGCTCAACACATCTCCACGACATTCGCGCGAGGGGGCAAACATCATACGTCCTACTAGTTTGTCCTGGAGGTGATCTGGTGCCACGCTTGCTACATCGTGGCGGTCATGGGGTTGTCAAACAAAAAAGATCTGACCCCGAAAACGTGCAAACCGATTGACACATCCACCACAATGCGGTCGCGAACGGGCACGGCCCCTTTTGGGTTGATTAATTTTTACGTCAATTTTGTCGTGGCGACCATACGGCTCTCAAAAAAGAAGCGTTTGTCCCGCACAACGGGCAGACCGCCACAATCTGGGCGCGAATGGGCAGGTGTGTTGCTTCCTGGCGGCTCCTTGTCGGGATGCCTAAGTGGGACACGCGTTTTTGCTTTTAGATAGAAGTGTATGTCTTGCCAAACAAAGAATCAGCTTGGAACATCCTTACACTGATATCGCGAAGCGACGCGTGTCCGACCCCTCTGGCGGTTGTGCGGCGGGGTGCCCGAGTGCCACGCATTCGCGCGTCTGTCAAGACATAGCGGCGTGTTCCACCACACGACCACTCCCAGGCGGCACCTCCTTGGGGTACCGTACTGCTACATCTCGGTGAGCCCACTGCTGCGCGTGAGCGCATGAAGGTACGATTTGTCTAAATATGGTATACTGTTGGGGCGAGTGAACCTGAACGACTACGTGCGAGAATCATGTGAGTGAACCTACGTCGGGTGTGAGTGGCTCTGAGTGTCAGCGGGTTTGCTTGCGAACGCGTCAGGGTGTCAGTGGACCTGTCGTGCTTATGACGTGTGCGTGAGGACGTCGAGCGGCGAGGGGGCGGGAGGGCGATATGCGGATGCGTCAAACAAAAAAATGGTCACGCGAGTAACGCTGCGGGGAAAGAGGCGCGCATCCTGCAATGCTGAAAAAAGACAGCGCTGAGCGGAGGGGTCGCGATTACGACGGCAGCGGCTGGGGCGGAAGGAAGCGGTACGGGGAACAAACTAGGAGGACGAGCGAAACCCGTTCAACCAACAAATCCGCCACGCAGCCAAACAACAATCTCAACCAAACAGCCAAACGTCACGGCATTGCCGCTTGAGGTTTCTTCGCGTCGCGGGCGCCATGACAGGAGGGCGCGCATAGTGGCGGGGCTGATGAAAGGGGAGGGCGCGGGGACGCGAAGAATCCGGAACATGAGGAACACATGAAGCTGTCCCCCCCGCAAGGCAAGGGCGCTATGCAAGGCCTCCCCGTCCCCTTCGGCCGCCGGGGCCTGGATCGAAGGGGCGCGGAGGGAAAGACGGAGCGCCGCCAACGCCCGGGCGCGATTGCGACGGCAGCGGCTGGGGCTGAAGGAAGCGGTACGGGGAACAACGCAGGAGCCCACCACGCAGGCAGACACCCAAGCAACAAACCCAACCAAACAGCCAAACGTCACGGCATTGCTGCTTGAGACTTCCTCGCATCGTGGGCGCCGTGACAGAAGGAGGGCGCGAATAGTTTCGGGGGTGATGAAGGGGAACGCGGAACGGGAAGGATCTGGAAACTGAGGAACAAGTGACACTGTCGCCCGCAATGCAGGGACGCTGTTTCAGGCCTTTTCGCTTCCTTCGGCCGCCGGGGCCTGGGTCGAAGGGGCGAGGAGGGAAAAACGGAGTGCCGTCCAACGCCCGTGCGCCAACAGAAAGCGAAGCGGGGCAGGGGGGCGGGGCAAGAAAGAATGGTTCGCAGGAGGAAAGGGGAGGAGAGGGAAGGAACGCGCTGCAACGCGCCACCGCGCGGCTGCAGCGCATCGCAAGGTGGAGGGGCGCCCGATGCACCTAGAGCGCAGCGCGGACCAACCCGCCGCGAGCGAGGCCTGGCGGACGAACCGCTGCTAACTGCAGCGCGCCCCGACTACCGCAAACGAACAGCCAAATCCGCGCGGCAAGGGAGAGGAGGAGAAACAACAAAGAACACACGGGGGAAAGGAGGACCCAAACAACACATTGGAAAACGCCAGAGAAGAAGAGGCCCGCGTGCAGGTGACGCCCTTGTCGCATGAGCTTGGGGCGTGGTGACGGGGGCGACGCCTGCGCGGGGACTGTGGCGCGTGTGGGGCGCGGTGATCCACACGGGCCGTGCGATCCGCGTGGGGTGGGGGGGTCGGGGGGCCGCGTCGGACTGGCGAGGCCGCATGGGCCGCGCGAAGCGCACGGGCGCCCCCTGCAAAGGGCTGGGGGAGGCGCACGGGCAGCGCGAAGCGCACGGGCCGCGGGCGATGTATGAACCGCATGGCCGCCTGTGCTGCCCAGGCCGAAATGAGTGCGCGATCCGCGTGGTAGCTGGTCGTGCGCGCCGCCAGGCAGACCCTGCACGAACACCGCAGGACTGGTAAACAGTTTAGGGCCCAGTGAGCACCACGTCGTGCGCCCACTCGGGGAACGGCTCCCCGCTGCCAAGCATTCGGGCGAGAGCCGCGCCGACCATCAAGCACAACAGCATCAGTTGAGACGTCCTCGCACTGCGCGCGAGGTTTGAAGGAGAGGGCGCGCACCTTGCAAGTGTATTTCCGTTGCTCGACATCGACGGGGGTAGAGACCAAGGCGACCAACCAATCCAACCACGCAGCCAAAGGTCCCGGCGCCGTCTGCGAGTTCCCCGCAGCCTGGGCGCCGAAGCAAGGCCAATGCATGTATCCAATACTGTTGAATGGCAAGGCAGGGTTGGTGAGGAGGGAGGAAAGGGAACGGACGAATCAGGGGGAGGAGGAGCAGCAAAAAGACCGGACAGGGGTGCGGCGTCAGGCCTCAAACCCCCGTCGGCTGCCGATGCCTGGTTTGGACACCTCCGAGCTGGGCTCGGAGCGCTGTCGGCACCGTCGCGGGTGAGGCGGGGGCAAAAATGCGAGGGGGGGGCGGGGCAGAAAGGAAGGGCGCGAGGAGGGAGAGGGAAGGAACGCGCTGCAACGCACCACAGCGTGGCTGCAGCACAGTGAGAACTGGAGCAGCGACAGATGCGCCTGGAACGCAGCACAAATCAACCCGCCGTCAACGAGGCCAGACGGACGAAACGTTGCTAACTGCAGCGCACCCCGAAGCCCAAGTGGCCAGCCAAATCCGCGCGGCATCACCAAGGCGGAGGAGTCAAAGAAAACCAAGCGGAAAAAGGAGAACCCGAACAATGAGCGGGAGAGCGGCGGAGAGAGGGGGGAGGACTATATATTCAGACGGGCATGGACTGCACAGGCCACATGTGCGCGGAGGTAGAGCCTCTCAAAAACGAAATGCTGCACAGGCGACGGCAGGACAAATCTTACGGGAGATCCCCATGTATGCATCGTTCAGTTTCTCCTCCTCCTTCTCCTCGGCCCACCCGCGACCCACCCCGCGACCCACCCTTCGACCCATTGGCGTCTCGCCTGCGACGCGCCCGCGACCCACCCCGCCCCCGCCCCCTCACTCTTACCCGCAACTGCGGGGGTGCTACGTAGGTTAACGATTAAGGACTGCCCAGGGGACCGTCGTGCGGCAGCGCCCCTGACGATAATCACTAATGTAGGTTCCAGGCCTCCCTCGCGGGCGTCGTCTCGTCTCTGGGACTCTTTTATCGTCTTCTTCATGCTTCCCTCTTTTCACTTTCTTCTCAACTGTCATTCCACATTCTGTCCCAGCCCCAGGGAGGCCCAGGGAGGGGAAAATTCGATCCAGAGCTTTTTACTGCTCTCAGATCGTTCTGGATCGCTCCAGAAAGGCTGCGGCGTCCGACACGTTCCACATCCTCCCAGCCCGCCAGTTCTCAGACCTCCCCGATTAGTCCCCATCCAGATTCATCTTCGTCCTGCCTTTGTCGTCTTGCTCCCCTCCTTGCCCCGCCTCCTTGCTCGCCTCCCCTCTTCCCCCCCATCCCCTTGCCCCGCCCCCTGACGCGCAGCACAGCTACTCCTCGCACCACGCCAGAGCAAGGACCACGACGGTAGCCATCCGAGGCACTGCGGCGTTCCAGCTGCCGCAGATTCAGTGGCGCTGCTCTCCGGCACGCAGGCCCGCGCGTTTACTGACAGACTCTGCCGATCCTGCACCCTCGGGGCACGGCCGCTTCCTTCGTCCGTCCTGCCTCCGTCCTGAGCCCCGGCCCCGCGAAGCTCCCCCCCCGGTGGGCGGGCGCAGGAGGGCCTGGCCCGGAACTTCCGGGCGCAGCAGCGCGACCAGGCGCCCCCTGCTCCCCCGCCCCCTCTGTGCTCCCCTCCGGAGGGTGCCTCCTCCCCGCACGGCCCACTGCAGTCCTGCGCTGCTCCGGCCCTCTCCCCCCCTCGTCCTCGCTCCCCTGCCCTCGCTCTCTGCCCTGCTCGTGCCTCCTCGCCCTCCGTCCTCCGCCCCCCTGCCAGGGCCCACTTCGGTTCCGTCGATCCGATTCGACGTCGATTCTGGTCGTCCCAAGCTGGTTCGACTTCCGACGTTCCGACGATCCTGAGCGCTGTTGTATGCAGCCGATCCGATTCGGTTTCGATTCCGTGCCGATGATCGCAGCTTGTCCCGACGCTCATTTCGAGCCGATCCGACTTCCCGATACGATGCTGGCTGATCCTGCTTCCGCCGCTTCTCCGCCTGGCTCGAGCCCAGACATCCTGTGCTTGAAGACATCGAGGTGTCTGAGATCCCCAGACGTCTGGCGATGTGTTTGTTTCGGTTGCGGCGTATTTCGGACGGGGCTAGGACGAGGACAAATCCGTTCCAGAGCGTTCCGGAACGCTCCCGAGACGTCCTCCAGAGCCACCAGATCTCAGAGATTGTCGATTTCTCCTCACCCGAACTTGTCCTCTCCAGAGCCGCCGAATCTCAGAGGTTCTCGATTCCTCCCCGCCCGAATTTGTCCCCGTCTCGTCGTGGCTTCGTCTTAGCATTCCCTCCGCCTCGCACTCTGAACGACGCTCTCAGGCCCCGGGGACCATCAGACACCTGGCAGGGGGCAGCGAGCAGGTGATCGTGTTTGTATTCATTGGTTTGCCGATCTGCGCGGGCCCTCGCACCCCCCCCCCTCCCTCCCCCCCGTTCGGGGGGTGCTAAAGGTGTCCCTGGCCCAAGGTGCCCACAGCGTTTCGCTCAATTTTGGAGCCTCTGGGGCCCTCTGGGCCTCGTGAGGGGTGCTCTGGAGGCCTGGGGAGCCTCCTTGGAAATTTTGGGGGTACCTTGGGCCAGGGGCACTTCTAGCAACACCCGACCCGTGGAGTAGATCTTGGCTGCTTTGGGCGCCTGTTTCGAGCAGGTGCGGTCTCCCCCACAGGACGCTTTGCTGCAAGCAGTGGCACTAGGCAGAGGTCCGAGGCAGACCCCCCCCCTCCCCCCTTCCAATGTCGAAACGCTGGATAACAGAAAGGCTCACCAGCCCACACCGGGGAGGCGTCGGGGGCCTCTCCGGTGGCCGCGCGCACAAAAAAGAGCAACAGCTCTTCGGAGGGCTGGGCGGTTGGCCAAGGCTTCGTTTGCCCGGGCTATAGCACGCAGGATCCTGCCTCGGCGACCTGGATCCGTCACGGGCCGCGAATCGGAGGATGAGTAGGAGGAGGAGGAGGAGGAGGAGGAGGAGGAGGAGGAGGAGGAGGAGGAGGAGGAGGAGGATATAAAGAGGAGGAAGAGAAGGGATATAATGATATAAGAGGATGAGATAGGAGGAACAATAGGAGGAGGATCTAAATATAAGTAAGAGGAGGGATTCAAATCTACAAAGAGGAGGAAGAGGAGGGATATACATATATGTAAGAAGAGGAGGAAAAGTAGGAGGAGGATAGAAAGAGGAGGAAGAGGAGGGGAATTCGGTGGGGGGGGAACTTCGCATCGCGTGACGAAATCCCTCTGCCTGCTGCAGCATCCTGCAGGATCTCGCAGGTCAGGTCAGGTCAGAGCCGCGCAGAGACGGCGCAATGTTGCGGTGCGCGGCTGCTGCATGCCAGAGCAGCTGGACAAGGAATGCTGCAAACTCTTAAGAAGCCCGACTGGCCCAGGCCAGCGCGCAGGATCTTGCAGGAGCCTGCAACGCCCGACTGGCCTGGGTCTGCACTGGCCCGGGCCAGTAACATCCCCGACGGGCAGGCAAGCAGGCAGGAGCCGCGCCCCGACGGCGCATCGACAGAAAATATATAACGCTGAAGACGTGCCTTTAAGTCGGGCCTGTCCCTCTACAGGGAGAGTATTCAAAAATAGTTGAAAATAGTCCGGGAACGTTTTTTTGGGGAGGGGGAGGGGGGGTATTTTTGGTGTATTATATATATATATATATATATATATATCGTCCAAAATCCCCTTGTAGGGGGACACGCCCGACCCAAACGTACCTGAGATAATCATGCAGGAAGATCTTCGTGCAGACGCCGAGCCCATACAGTGCCTCGGGGGGCAAGCGCCGGATCCTTTGTTCCGGAGCCGCGCGAGGGAGATCCCCGACGGGGGGGCAGCGAGCTGCCCGCGGGGAGCGTCGTCGTCGGCTCTCCGGCAGGGCGGCGCGCGTGAGTTGCGGGGTGACCGCGGGGGGAGGCGGCCTTTTGAGAAGTCGACGGGGGGGGAGGCATCCGAGAAGGCAGGCTGCGTCTCGGCAGGCCTCCCAGCTTCTTTCGGGCGGTGGCGAAGCGTCTTGGCCTGCCTGCCAGCGCTCATTTCGAGTCCACCGATTCGGTTCGATTCGATTTCGATAGCTTCCGGTTTCGGTTCGGTTCGACTTGGGATTCCGGGCTGGACTCCGATTTCTCAATGGAGGCCCACTAGCCTGCAGATGTCCGCCGATTCGATTTCTCCCGGCTCGGCTGCCGATTTCTGCCGATCCGATTCACTTCGATCGCCGATCCCCGATTCGATTCTGGGCTCTCCTTCCTTCACTCACACCCAGGAATGTTATAAGAACCTTGTTCTTGTTTGCACGACATGTCCTCAGAACGTGTCTGACTCGGTCAGTCTTGTTTGAGTCCACCGGCTTTCTGCTCTAAGAGCCTTGCTTTCGCTCTCAGAACATTCGGTTGCTCTAAGACCATTTCGTGGCAGGCCTACAGGGCTGCGCGGACGGTCGGTCCCTGCTCAGCTCTTGAGGAGGAGGAGGAGGAGGAGGAGGAGCAGGTGGAGGAGGAGGAGGGGGAGGAGGAGCCTTCTTGGGAGCGTCCTGGACCTGCCGATAAGGACGCCGCCTTCGCAGAACCCCCCCCCGCGCCTTCTCAGAAGGACGCTCCCCTTCGCGCCACTCCCCCCTGGTGTCCGCCGCCGAGCCTCCGCGGCCCCGGGGGCTGCTCCGAACATCCGCTCGAGACGCGAAGCTGGTCATCAGTCGGGCCTGTCCCTCTACAGGAGGAATATTCAAAAAGTAAAACATAGTCTGGGGACGTTTTTTTTTGTTCTTGCTATTCCCAACCATCCTGTGGTGTTGGGTCCTCGTTTTGAAGAGACGGTGCCCCGCGTTCCTCTCCTTCCTCCTCTCCTCCCTCCTCCCCCTCCTTGCCTCTGCTCTCGGCACACCTCTCACGCGTTTCGTAGCCCCATAGGGAGCTCCACCGAAGGCCCCAGTGGGGGTGTTCGCATGCGGTTCCCCCACCCAGGGCAGCGTTTCGTGGCCCCATAGGGAGCTCCACCGAAGGCCCCAGTGGGGGTGTTCGCATGCGGTTCCCCCACCCAGGGCAGCGTTTCGTAGCCCCATAGGGAGCTCCACCGAAGGCCCCCGCATGCGGTGGGGGTGTTCGCATGCGGTTCCCCCACCCAGGGCAGCGTTTCGTGGCCCCATAGGGAGCTCCACCGAAGGCCCCAGTGGGGGTGTTCGCATGCGGTTCCCCCACCCAGGGCACGTTTCGTGGCCCCATAGGGAGCTCCACCGAAGGCCCCAGTGGGGGTGTTCGCATGCGGTTCCCCCACCCAGGGCAGCGTTTCGTGGCCCCATAGGGAGCTCCACCGAAGGCCCCCGCATCCCCCACCCAGGGCAGCGTTTCGTAGCCCCGAGCTCCACCGGCCCCAGTGGGGGCATGCGGTTCCAGCGTTTCGTGCCCCATAGGGAGCTCCACCGAGGCGGTTCCCCCACCCAGGGCAGCGGTGCTCCACCGAAGGCCCCATGCATGGTTCACCCCACCCGGGCTCCACCGAAGCGTTTCGTGGCCCCATAGGGAGCTCCACCGAAGGCCCCAGTGGGGGTGTTCGCATGCGGTTCCCCCACCCAGGGCAGCGTTTCGTAGCCCCATAGGGAGCTCCACCGAAGGCCCCAGTGGGGGTGTTCGCATGCGGTTCCCCCACCCAGGGCAGCGTTTCGTAGCCCCATAGGGAGCTCCACCGAAGGCCCCAGTGGGGGTGTTCGCATGCGGTTCCCCCACCCAGGGCAGCGTTTCGTGGCCCCATAGGGAGCTCCACCGAAGGCCCCAGTGGGGGTGTTCGCATGCGGTTCCCCCACCCAGGGCAGCGTTTCGTAGCCCCATAGGGAGCTCCACCGAAGGCCCCAGTGGGGGTGTTCGCATGCGGTTCCCCCACCCAGGGCAGCGTTTCGTAGCCCCATAGGGAGCTCCACCGAAGGCCCCAGTGGGGGTGTTCGCATGCGGTTCCCCCACCCAGGGCAGCGTTTCGTGGCCCCATAGGGAGCTCCACCGAAGGCCCCAGTGGGGGTGTTCGCATGCGGTTCCCCCACCCAGGGCAGCGTTTCGTAGCCCCATAGGGAGCTCCACCGAAGGCCCCAGTGGGGGTGTTCGCATGCGGTTCCCCCACCCAGGGCAGCGTTTCGTGGCCCCATAGGGAGCTCCACCGAAGGCCCCAGTGGGGGTGTTCGCATGCGGTTCCCCCACCCAGGGCAGCGTTTCGTAGCCCCATAGGGAGCTCCACCGAAGGCCCCAGTGGGGGTGTTCGCATGCGGTTCCCCCACCCAGGGCAGCGTTTCGTGGCCCCATAGGGAGCTCCACCGAAGGCCCCAGTGGGGGTGTTCGCATGCGGTTCCCCCACCCAGGGCAGCGCTTCGTGGCCCCATAGGGAGCTCCACCGAAGGCCCCAGTGGCTGCTCTCGCATGCGGTTCCTCCACCCAGGGCAGCGTTTCGTGGCCCCATAGGGAGCTCCACCGAAGGCCCCAGTGGCTGCTCTCGCATGCGGTTCCCCCACCCAGGGCAGCGCTTCGTGGCCCCATGGGGAGCTCCACCGGGTGGCGCAGTTCGCATGCGGTTCCCCCACCCAGGGCAGCGTTTCGTAGCCCCATAGGGAGCTCCACCGAAGGCCCGCCCCGGTGGCGCAGTCCGCATGCGGTTCCCCCATCCAAGGCAGCGCTTCGTGGCCCCATATGGAGCCCCACCGAAAGCGGCACCCACAACGCGTTACCAACAATTGCTTATGGTTGGGTCTTTCGCCAGGATAATTGAATATGTTGTTTTTTTCCGTCTATTTTCAATGTTTCGTCCAACATCCGCCTGTAGGGGGATATGCCCGACCTAAAGTTGGTCTCTAATGACAGACCCGGGGTCCAGGACAACTTTCGGTCTGGTCGAGCCGATTCGATATCGACTGCGGCTGGCCCGTCGACTCCGATGTTCTGACGATCTGATGCAGCCCGATGCCTGCACGACGCCATTGTGTATCCTGGCTCAGCCGTGCTTCGATCATGGGGTCCTATGCCTTTGGCGAAGGGGCTCGCGTTCTTGACCCACGCGCACGTTGTCATTGCCATGATTCGATTTCACCGTGCTCTAGGTTCTAGACCCTTCTGGGGAACCCAGAGGAGGTCCCTAGTGGGGTCTAGGAGGAGGCTGAGGAGGATGAGGAGGATGAGGAGGATGATGAGGAGGAGGAACAAGAGGAGGAACAAGAGGGGGAGGGGGAGGAGGAGGAGGAGGAGGAGGAGGAGGGAGGAGGAGGAGGAGGAGGAGGAGGAGGAGGAGGAGAGGAGGAGGAGGAGGAGAGGAGGAGGAGGGACGAGGAGGAGGAGGAGGAGGAGGAGGAGGAGGAGGAGGAGGAGAGGAGGAGGAAGGAGGAGGAGGAGGAGGAGGAGGAGGAGGAGGAGGAGGAGGGGGAGCCTTCTTCTTCTCCCTGACATTCCCACCTCCGCTCGGCCCCTGCTGCTCCGACTCCACTCCCTGCTCCTCCTGAGACCTCGACAACCCCCTTCTTTTTGTGCCCTCGTCCTCTCCACCAACGTCCGATCAAAATCGGTCCCTGATCCCCTCCCAGGCTCCATCTTGTGCCTATATTGCTAAGGCCTTACGGCCGGTGCCGCCGTCCCTGGAGGCCTCGGACCTCGACGGAAGTGGGAGGGAGAGGGCGGGCCATGGGCCCCGGGAGGGTGGCATTCTGACCCAGGACCCCCCTTGGGACGCCCTTCCGGGACCCCCACCTTCGAGTAAACACCAACGTTGCTCAGATTGGCTTCCCCTCCGCGTCGCAGCCGCTTCCCTCCACCGAAAGGAGCCGCCCAGGTCCCCCCCCCCCCTCCCGCGTATCCGGGTGTGACCCCCCCCCCTCCCCCCCCCACGGGGGTAAGGGATTAAAGGGAAGGGGCTTCCCTTCGAGTAAGCTGCGATGTTGCTCAGAATGGCTTCCCCCCCGTGTCCGGGGGGGACAGATTGGCGTCGCCCCTGGGTCGCGGCCGCTCCCCTCGCCCTGGGAGAGTCGACCACTCCCCCTCTTGGAGCCGACGTGACGGTGTCGTGGGCAGCTCCCCTCCCCCTCTTGGAGCCGACCCCCTCTTGGAGCCGACGTGACGATCCCGTGGGCGACGACGACCCACGCAAGATGACGAGATCAGGATACGTCTTCCACACGCCGACAGGGTCGGCGGATTTAATTACATCCTGGATCTACGTTTCATTGTGCTGGGGCCCGAACCTGGAACCCAGATTCGGAGGTTCGTGTCGTGTCGACGCGGCAGCGACCCCAGCGCGGGCGTTCAAGGTTGAACCCCGCCAGCCGCCCAGAAACAGCCATTTCGGAGCAAATTTGGTGATAGAGAAGCCACCGATCGTCCAAAGTGGAGCGATCCACGCGGTGTCAAAGGCCAACGCCGAAGTCGCCAAGAAAGTTAGACTTGAGTCCCTCTCTTGAGTCTCTCTTGGGGCCGTCTTGGGGCCCTCTTGGGCCGTCTTGGGCTGTCTTGGGACTCTTTTGGGTCGTCTGGGGGCCCCCTTGGGGGCCTTTTTGGCTGCTCTGGTGTGGTCTTGGGGACCTCTTGGGCCGTCTCGGAGCGTCGGAGAGCCGAAACGGCTAGAGCGCCGAAATCTTCCGAGCGCCTGGTGACATCAGCAGTTTTGCCCTTTTTGGCGCCCTCTTCGGAGGCCCCCTTGGGGCGCTGCGGCGTGCCGCTCCGCCCCGGGCTCGGTCTCTCGCCGAGGGGCGCTCTCGGTGGCGGTGGGCGCCACGCTTCTCCTCTGAGATTGAGGGGCACCGAAAAGGGGGGGGGGCTGGCAGGAGGAGTTGGAGGAGGAGGAGGAGGAGGAGGAGGAGGAGGAGGAGGAGGAGGAGGACGAGGAGGGGGGAGGAGAGAGGCGGAGTAGAGGAGGAGGAGGAGGAGGAGGAGGAGGAGGAGGAGTCTTGGTCCGAGCTTGGGGGCCCTCCTGGGCCCCGCCGCTTCTCCCCGTGTGGCTCCCAGGCGAAAAATGACCCCCCCCCCCGAGTGTAATTCGAACAGAAGCATTGGACCGAGGGCTAAAACTCTTTGAGGGGCCCGGACCCAATTTTGGGTCTGGGCCCCTCGAAGAGTTTTCGGGGCCGAGGGCTGAGGCTCCAGGCAGTGGGCAAAGGACCTGAGGGCACGCCAACTCCGTGCCCAGAGGCGCGTTGGCGGATAGGCTTAGGAAAGACTGTTCGAACAGCCTTGTGTGGTTTGCACGGAATGCTCGCAGAACATTTCTGGTTGAAGCAGTCGTGTCTTAGCCAATCGTTTTTATGTTCTGAGACCATGGCTTTTGCTGTCGCTGCATTGTTTCGCTTCGTGTTCTACGAACATCTCGTGGCAGTCCAGCAGGGATGCCATGACGAGTGGTCCCTGCTCAGTCCTCCTCGTCCGCTCCCTGCCCCCGCCCTCTACAGTCTGCCCCCGCCTCTCGTGCCGCCCCGCCCGCGGGATCGCCCCGCGATCCAGGTTCGCTTCACCACGGAGCAGGCCCACGTGAGGCGGCCGCGGGGAGGAGGAGGAAGAGGCGGAGTCTGTGAGTGAGTGAGTGAGTGAGTGAGTGAGTGAGTGAGCGAGCGAGTGAGTGAGGAGGATGAGTGAGGAGAATGAGGAGGAGGAGGAGGAGAAGAATGGGGAGGAGGAGGAGGAGGAGGAGGAGGAGGAGGAGAGGAGGAGGAGGAGGAGGAGGAGGAGGAGGAGGAGGAGGAGGAGGAGGAGGAGGAGGAAGAGGCCCCAGCGCCGAGCCGAGAAATCCGCGCGGATCTTCGAGCTTGTATGTTTATGCCATTGTTCGTTCTCCTGAGAACCGACACATCGGATCGGATCGGACGGCTCGAGGTGGGCCCCGGTGGCCTTCTGAAGGGGCGCCCGGTGGACCGCTCCCCCTCGCGCCCACCCCGCGTGCGCGCCGCTGGCCACGCGAGAGCGGGGCCCGCGCACCGTGCAGTGGGGGCCCGACCGCAAGAAACCTTACACAAGAAGCCCAACCCGGATTCCCCAGGACGTCCATTGACTTTTGGTGTGGGAGCGTCGCGCTCTCCGTGGCAAAACCATCGAAGCCCAAGAAACCCAGGGCACCCTGGAGGCAAGCAGGGTGTTTCTTGGCATGGGCCCACACCGTACCCGTGTCTGGAGCGAGCCCGACATCGAACCGGATCGATCGGACCGAGATGGACATTGGCCCAGGCAGGTCTGCGCTGGATTGCATCGCGACATCGGGTTGGATCGAGAGTGGACCGAGTCGCCAGCGAACGGTTCCGAATCGGATCGGTATCGAATCGCCGCGTCCCGTTTCCGGCTGGCCCTGGCCGATGCCAGTGTATCGAGCCGGATCGCATCGAATTGGAATCGCGGCCCCAGCCAGCGAATCGGATCGCATCGTGGGCGGCCCTGCGGGGTCCAGGACCCATCCGTCGCGATCCCTCCCCTTCGGGTAGGGGATCACACGCAGAATCGATTGGCCACAAACTCAATAACCCCTGTCCGTAGAATCTTTGGCTAACATACGTAGAATGTGCGTGCTATGTGTACGAGACAGTGTTCGCAGATTCGACGTCAAAATATATTCTGGGGCAAATCCATTCTGGAATTGGTCCTTTACTCGATCCCTGCGTGGCGAGACGGCGGGGATCGTTGACTCCTGAGGGTGTGGTTTGCAAAGGGCGTGGCTTTCAAACCGCACCTCGGAGGACACCCTGGAGGGCGTGCGGGGACCTCGACAGAGCTCTCCGCCGCGCCTCGAAGCGGCCCGACGAGGACGGCGTCGTGCCCCCCAGGCCCCAACGGCGCCGATCGCAAATCACGCCCAGCACGCTGGGCCCAGAGGCCTCGACCGCCAGTGCCCCTGCCCCGCCGTGCCGTGCTCCCCGGCTCCTCCGCCCCCGCCGCTGCCCCCCGGCCTCGAGCTCCTCCTCTCTTCCGCCCCTCACCTCCTCCACCTTCTCCTCTTCCTCCTCTTCCCCTTCCTCCTCCTCCTCCTCCTCCTCCTCCTCCTCCTCTGCCTGCTCCTCCTCTGCCTCCTCCTCCTCCTCCTTCTCAACCTCCTCCCCCTCCTCCTCAACCTCCTCCCCCTCCTCCTCCTCCTCTCCTCCTCCACCTCCTCCTCCTCCTCCTCCTCCTCCTCCTCCATCTCCTCCTCCCGCTCCTCCTCCACCACCTCCTCCTCCACCTCCTCTTCCTCCTCCAACCTCCTCTCTACCTCCTCCTCCTCCTCCTCCTCACTCCACCTCCTCTGCCTACTCCTCCTCTGCCTCCTCCTCCTCCTCCTCAACCCTCAACCTCCTCCCCCTCCTCCTCCTCCTCCTCCTCCTCCTCCTCCTCCTCCTCCTCCTCATCCTCTTCCCACTTCCCCTCCACCGCCTTCCTCCATCCTCCCTCCTCCTCCCTCCTCCATCCTCCTCCTGCTCCTCCCTCCTCCACCTCCTCCCTCCGCCTCCTCCTCCTCCTCCTCCTCCTCCCTCCATCTCCCCACCTCCCACCTCCCCCTCTCCCTCCTCCTCCACCTCCTCCACCTCCTCCTCTTCCTCCTCCTCCTCCTCGGCATCCTCCTCCTCCTCCTCCTCCTTCTCCTCCTCCCCGTCCTCCTCCTCCCCTCCTCCTCCCCTCCCCTCCCTCCCTCCCCTCCCCTCCCCTCCCCTCGCCCTCCCCTCCCCTCCCCTCCCCTCCCTCCCCTCCCCTCTACCCTCCCCTCCCTCCCCTCCCTCTCCCTCTCCTCCCTCTCATCCTCCTCCTCCTCCCTCCTCCTCAACTCCTCCTCCTCCTCCCCTCCCTCCATCTCCTCCATCTCCCCCTCCCCCTCCCTCCACCACCTCCTCCTCCCTCCTCCTCCCTCCATCTCCTCCTCCCCCCCTTATCCCCCCTCCCTCCTCTCCTCCTCCTCCTCCTCCTCCTCCTTCTCCTCCTCCTCCTCCGTCTCCTCCTCCTCCTCCTCCTCCTCCTCCTCCTCCTCCTCTTCCTTCTCCTCGGGTCGCCTACGGTCCCAGGGGAAACCGTGCATTGGAGGGAGGAAAAGCCACGTCGATACCACCAGCGGGGGTCCCCTGCGCCGAGCGAGCCGTGCGTTGGACACGGGCCTCGGTGAAGAGTTGGCGAGCACTCGTGCTTCGTTCATCTGTCAGCGGCCCCCCTCCTCCTGCCCACGATGGTGAAAGTTGGCGGTGGCTGTGACCTTGCATCTTTCTACAGCAGTCTCCCCCGTGCGCTCCTCGATTATCTGCCGCTCATCTTCGTGCATTCGATCTGAGGTTATGGGTCGGTACCGCCCGGTGGAGGTAGCTCCTCGAGTACCCTCGGAGACCAGCTCCTCCGCTGCTGGGCCGCACCGAGAGCCCCTTCACAACCTCCTGGAAGTCTGCCCCGCGCGTGCCATTTATGAGTTTTCGAGTAGGGGATCGACTACAGAGCTGATTTACCACAGAATTTGTCCTTAAGGGCTTTGCCCCCTGCCGCCGGCCCCTTCTCTATCATATTGGGATATATCAGAGTCGCGTCGGTGCGTCTCGGCGCTGCCTGGGCGCATCTGGGAACATCATGCTGGGGCAGATAGGAATCATCAGCACATGAGAGGTCGGCGTTATCGAAGACGCCTACGGCGAATCACCGCCGCCCCCTGCCCCTTTGGAAGCGCCTATGTGGCCAAGCTATCGGGCCAGTTGTTCCCCGAGTCGGTTTGGAAAGCCTTCGGGGAACGCGTGGGGGAACAGTTGGAGGAGGATCAGGAGAGGGAGGAGGATGATGCCTAGGAGGAGGATGAGGATGAGGATGAGGATGATGGGGAAGGAGGAGGAGGAGGAGGGGACTTCTTGGGAACCGTCTTGCGAGGCCTCTTGGGAGGTCTCGGCGGAGCTTCCTGGGAGCCTTTTGGAGGCCTCTTGGGAGCCCCCCCTGGGCCTCTTGGAGGCTTCTTGGGGGCCCTCGGGGGCTTCTTGGGGACCTCTTTGGCCGTTTTAGGGCGTTCCCGACCCGTCTGACACCGTCGGAAGCCGTCTTGGGGGCCTCTCTGAAGCGACTTGGGCTCTCTTGGGGCACTTCAGGGCCGGTCTTGGAGAGTATTTTGGACGTCTTAGAGGTCGCCGTCTTAGGGGCCTCTTGGGCCGTCATGGAGCCATCTCGGAGGCCTCCTGGGCGATCTTGGGGCGACTTTGGCGGCCTCTTGGGTCGTCTTGGGCCGTCGGAAGACCGACAATGCGGAAATGCCAAAAGCCTTCAAAAGCCTGACGAAAGTCAATGATTTTGGCCTCTGGACGACCCTCCCGGAGGACCTTTTGGAGGACTCTTGAGCCGTCTTGGAGGCCTCTTGGAGGCCTCTTGGGCCATCCTGGGCCTCTTAAGGCCATCTTAGGCAATCCTGGGTGCATCTTGGGCCGTCTTGGTCGTCTTGGAGGCCATCTTGGCCGTCTTGGAGGCCTGTTGGGGCCCTCTGGGGGCCGTCTTGGGGGCCTCTTGGGCCGTCATGGGGCCATCTTGGAGGCCTCGTGCGCGATCTTGGGGCGATCTTTTGGGCCTCTTGGGCCGTCTTGAGACGTCGGAGTGCCGAAAAAGAGCAAATGTCAAAGTCCTTCAAACACCTAAGGGAAATTAATGATTTTGGTATCTGCGGGTCCTCTTGGAGGCCTCTTGGAGCGTCTGGGAGGCCTCTTGGGGGCCTCTTGGGCCGTCTTGGGCCATCTTAAGGCCATCTTAGGCTGTTTTCGGTGCATCTTGGGCCGTCTTGGAGGCATCTTGGGGCCATCTGAGCCGTCTTGGAGGCCTCGTGGGGCCCTCTTGGGGCCGTCTTGGGAGCCTCTTGGGCCTTCATGGGGCCCTCTTGGAGGCCTCGTGGTTGATCTTGGGGCGATCTTGGGGGCCTCTTGGGCCGTCTTGGGCCGTCAGAATGCCGAGAAGAAGCAAATGCCACAATCTTTCAAAAACCTAAGGAATGAACGAATTTGGCCTCTTCGGGCCTTCCTGGAGGACCTCTTGGAAGCCTCTTGGGCCATCTTGGAGGCCTCGGGGAGGCCTCTCGGGCCGTCTTGGGCCGTCTGAGAGGTTTCTTGTCCGAGCTTGGAGGCATCTTAGACTCTCCTGGGCCGTCTTGGAGGCCATCTTGGACCTCTTGGGCGAACCTGGAGGCCATTTTGGGCCATCTTGGCCATCTCGGAAGCCATCTCGGAGCCGTCTGGAGCAGGAACAACTTTTGGAACCACCCATTCCGGGCCATTTCTGGACCCCGGCAGGCGGGGCCGAAGCCCCAGGATAAGTTTTCACCGGGAAAAAGCATAACCAAAAGCGAAAGGATTCGGCACGCCGGGCACCCCTGTGATGAATCAGCAGGGGGCGGCGGATCGAAGACGCCTACGGCGAATCACCGCCGCCACCTGTCTTTTTGGAAGCGCCTGCGTGGCCGAAAGTTGGGTTTGAGCTTGGCCAAGCTATCGGGCCACGCGTTCCCCGAGTGGGTTTCGAAAGCCTTCGGGGAACACGGAATCGGGCGAGCTATCGGACCAGGTGGTTTCCGAGCTTTCGGGCCTCCTGGAGGACATCTTGGAGGAGTCTTGGGCCTTCTTGGAGGCCTCTGGCGGGCCTTTTGGGCAGTCTAAGGTCATCTTCAGACCATCTGGGGCCGTCTTGGGTGCATCTTCAGGCGATCTTCGCCGTCTTGGAGGCCTTCTTGGCCGTCTTGGAGGCATCTTCGAGGCCATCTTGGACGTCTTGGATGCCATCTTGGGCGTCTTGGGGGCCTCTTGGGCCGTCTCGGCGTTTTGTTTGGGCCCTCTTGGGGGCCTCTTGGGCTGTCATGGGGCCATCTTGGAGGCCTCTTTGGCGCTCTTTAGGACGGGCCGTCTTGGGCCGTCGGAGAGTTGAAAAGAAGAAAATGCCCAAATCCTTCAAAAACCATAGGACAATCATTGATTTTGGCCCTTTCCGGCCTTCCTGGAGGACGTCTTGGAGGGCTCTTGGGCCGTCTTGGAGGCCTCTTGCGGGCCTTTTGGGTAGTCTTATGCTATTTTGAGGCCATCTTGGGCCGTCTTTGGGTGCATCTTCAGGCGATCTTCGCCGTCTTGACGGCCATATTGGGCGCCTGGGAGGCATCTTCGAGGCCATCTTGGCCGTCTTGGAGGCTATCTTGGGCGTCTTGGAGGCCTCTTGGGCCGTCTTGGGGCCTTCTTGGGGCCCTCGTGGGGGCCCCTTGGGCTGTCATGGGGCCATCTTGGAGACATCTTGGACGCTTTTGGGACGATGCTGGGGGCCTCTTGGGCCGTCTTGGGCCGTCGGAGAGCTGAAAAGGAACAAAAGCCAACATCCTTCAACAACCTAAGGAAAATCAATGATTTTGACCCTGTCGGGCCTGCCTGGAGGACGTCTTGGAGGGCTCTTGGGCCGTCTTGGAGGCCTCTTGCGGGCCTTTTGGGTAGTCTTAGGCCATTTTGAGGCCATCTTGGGCCGTCTTGGGTGCATCTTGGGGCCATCTTGGCCGTCTTGGAGGCATCTTGGAGGCCATCTTGGCAGTCTTGGAGGCCATCTGGGACTTCTTTGGGGCCTCTTGGGCCGTGGCGATCTTGATGGCCTCTTGGGCAGTCTTGGGCCGTCGGAAGGCCGAAATGGAGCAGAAGCCCAAATCCTTCAAAAACCTACGGGAAATCAATGATTTTGACCTCTTCGGGCAGTCCTTGAGGACCCTGGAGGACTTCTTCGAGGGTTCGTGGGCTGTCTTGGAGGCCTCTTCGAGGCCTCTGGGGCCGTCTTGGGCCGTCTTAGGTGTTTCTTGTGCGAACTTGGAGGCATCCTTGACTCTCTTGGGCCGTCTTCGAGGCCATCTTGGACTTGGGCCATCTTGGCCATCTTGGAGGCCATCTTGGAGCCGTCTAAAGCCGAAAAACCCTGTGCAGCCACCTTTTGCGCACCCTTCCGGGTGGCCGGCGGGACGAGCCGAAGCCCCAGGGGGAGTTCTTCTGGAAAAGGAACCAAAACCAAACTCGAAAGGATCTAGCACGTCGGGCACCTTTGTGGCAGGTCAACAGGGGGCGGCGGATCGAACACGCCTACGGCGAATCAGCGCCGCCCCCTGCCCTTTCGGGAGCGCCTACGTGGCCGAACGTTGCGGCCAGAGGCCTGCTTAGCTATCGGACCATGTGTTCCCCGAATCGGTTGGGAAAACTTTTGGGGAACACGTGGGGGAGAATGAACATGAAGAGGAAGAGGAAGAGGCCCGTCTTGAGCCGTCGGAATGGCGAGAAGAAACACATGCCAACATCCTTCAAGTACTTAGGGAAATTGATGGTTTTGGTCTTTTCGAGTCTTTCCTGGAGGACCTCTTGGAGGCCTCTTGGACCGTCTTGAGGCCTCTTGGAGGCCTCTTGGGCCGTCTTGGGCAATATTGACGCCATGTTAGGCCGTCTCGGAGGCATCTTGGGCCGTCTTGGAGGCATCTTGGGGGGCGAAGCTATCGGACCATGTGTTCCCCGAGTCGGTTTGGAAAGACTTCGGGGAACACGTGGGGGAGAAAGAGGAAGAGGAGGAGAAGGAGGGAGAAGGAGAATGGGGAGGATGCCTCTTCGGAGCCTCTTGAGGCACTCTTGGCTCGATTGGGGCATCTTGGGACCGTCTTGGAGACCATGTTGGTGCTATCTTGGGCTCTCTTGGGGCCTCTTGTGGGCCTCTTGGGGCCCTTTTGGGGCTTCTCGGGGGCCTCTTTGGCTGTCTTAGGGCGTTCCTGGCCCGTCTGACGCCGTGGGGAGCCGTCTTGGGGGCCTCTCTGAACCAACTTGGGGTCCTCTTGGGGAGCTTCGGGGCCGTCTTGGAGGCCATCTTGAACGTCTTGGAGGCTATCTTGGGCGTCTTGGGGCCGTCTGGGGGCCGTCTTGGGGGCCTCTTGGACCGTCATGGGGACCTCTTGGAGCCCACTTGGGCGATGTTGGGGCGATCTCTGGGGCCTCTTGGGCCGTCTTGAGCCGTCGGAATGCCGAGAAGACCCAAATGCCAAAATCCTTCAAAGACCTAAGGAAAAAAACGTTTGGCCTCTTCGGGCCCTCCTGGAGGACCTCTTGGAGGCCTCTTGGGCCGTCTTGGAGGCCTCTGGGGAGCCTCTTGGGCCGTCTTGGGCCGTCTTGGACTCTCCTGGGCCGTCTTGGAGGCCGTCTTGGACCATCTTGGGCGAATTTGGAGGCCATCTTGGACCATCTTGGGGGCCATCTAGGGCCAACGTGGCCATCTTGGCGCCATCTTGAGCCATCTTGGAGGATTTTTTTCTGGATTGAGCACCTTCCCGGGACCCTGGCGGGACGCGCCGGAGGCCCAGGGGGAGTTCTTTTGTAAAAGAACCAAAACCGAGAGGATCTAGCACGCCAGGCACCCTTGTGATGACTCAACAGGGGGCGGCGGATCGAAGACGTCTACGGCGAATCACCGCCGCCTCCTGCCTTTTTGGAAGGGTCTATGTGGCCGAACGTTGAGGCCATACCTGCCAAGCTATCGGACCATGTGTTCCCCGAATCGGTTTGGAAAGCCTTCGGGGAACACGTGGGCATCTTGAAGGTCATCGTGGCCGCCTGGGGGCCATTTTGACCCTTTCGGGCCTTCTTGGAGGACGTCTTGGAGGGCTCTTGGGCCGTCTCGGAGGCCATCTTGAGCGTCTTGGAGGCTTCTTAGGCCGTCTTGGGGGCCTCTTGGGGCCGTCTTGGGCCTCTTGGGCGATCTTTGGGGGCACTTGGGCCGTCTCGGGCCGTCTGAAGGCCGAAAACAAGCAAATGCCACAGTCCTTCAAAAACTCATGGGAATCAATGGTTTTGGCCTTTTCGGGCCTTCCTGGAGGTCCTCTCGGAGGCCTCTTGGGCCGTCTTGGGCCAGCTTCGAGCCAGCTTCGGCGTTCTTGGTGGGCTCCTGGCCCGTCTGTTTCCGTCGGAAGCCGTTTGGGGAGCCTTTCTGGGCCGACTTGGGGCCCTCTTGGAATGCTCCAGGGCCGTCTTGGAGGCCATCTCTTTGGCGTCTGAAAAGCCTCCTGGGCCGTCTTGGGGGCCTCTTGGGGCCGTCTTGGGGGCCTCTTGGGCCGCTCTGGGGCCATCTTGAAGGCTTCTTGGGCGATCTTTCGGCGATCTTTGGGGGCTCTTGGGCCGTATCGGGCCGTCGGAAGGCCGAAACGAAGCAAATGTCAAAATCCTTCAACAACCTACGGAAAACAACAATGTATTTGGCCTTTTTCGGGCCTTCCTGGAGGCCCTCTTGGAGGCCTCTTGGGCCGTCTTGGGCCAGCTTCGAGCCAACTTCGGCCATCTTGGTGGGCTCCTGGCCCGTCTGACGCCGTCGGAAGCTGTTTGGGGGGCCTTTCTGGGACGACTTGGGGCCCTCTTGGGGCGCTCCAGGGCCGTCTTAGAGGCATCCCGGGCGTCTTGGAGGCCTCTTGGGTCGTCTTTGGGCCTTCTTGGGGCCCTCTTGGGGGCCTCTTGGGAATTTTTGAGGCCATCTTGGAGGCCGATCTTGGGACCTCTTGGGCCGTATCGGGTCGTCGGAAAGCCGAGAAGAAGCGAATGCCGAAATCCTTCAACAACCTGGGGGATATCAATGATTTTGGCCTGTTCGGGCTCTCCTGGAGGACATCTTGGAGGCCTCTTGGGCCGTCTTGGGCCGTCTTGGACTCTCTTGGGCCGTCTTGGAGGCCGTCTTGGACCATCTTGGGCGAACTTGGAGGCCATCCGGAGAATGGACGTCCGAGCGATGGCGAGTTGTGGACATGCGTCGGCACCTTGCCTCGCCTGTCCCCCGTCGCAGCGGGGCGGCGGCTCCCCCGGGGCTCTGGGGCAGGCTGCTGGTTCACGCCGTGGAGGCGTTCCTGGGGGACGCGCAGGCCCCGCGGCCGCGCGCGCGGGGGCGCCTTCGCGCCGTGCAGGCCCGAGGAAGAGAGGCAGCGCCGAGGGCGTCTCCTTCCCTTGCAAGGGGCAGGGGCCCGATAGCCCCAATCTGCCCAGGAACGTGCGTCTTCGCCACAGGTGACCCATCGCCGACGCATCAGCGATGAAAGTCGCCGATTCCAGCTCGGGCCAGGTCGGGCGAAAGATGTGACCGGGGTGGGAGGGGGGGGGAGGGGGAGGGAGGGGGAGGTCACGTCACGATTCGCGCTGGCGCCGCCTGAGAACTCCCAATCGTGGCTCATTCCGAGACGGCGCCAGCGCGAATCGTGGCGTGACCAGGTGGAACGGCATGGGGGGGGTGGGGGCCGGTCACGGGCGTCCTCGCGAATCAGAAGCACGGGCTCTTCGGAAAGGGGGGTCGGACGACTGTTTTCGTTGGTTCTCGGCGGTTCCCCAGCCTTGTGAAGTGCAGTGCAGCAGCGCCGCTTCGCCGAGGACTTACTTTCTGGAGGTGCCCGAACTTTCCCGAACGGCTGTATGGAGACCCGAGTTATGACACAGGAGGGAAGGTCGGTTACGTTGCATCGTTGGGGGGCCCAGGGCGGGTCGGGCGAGAAGTTTCGTCGGCTCGGCTGTCTTCCAGCCTCGGGATGCTGCCTGCCAGAGGAGTTCTGCCGAGGGTGTTCCAGAGAGGGGTACACACAGACTTGTCGAGGTCGTCGTCGCGCTCGCTCGCGCGCGCTCGCTGCGGCAGGAGGAGCATTTTGGGAGCTTCTGCTGCTGTCCAAGTGGGGGAAATTAGCATGATAACAAGCGTGGGCCCCAAACAGTCTGTTCTAGCATGCCATGTGATGCAAGCTATGTGGTGCAAAGAATGTGGTGGAAATTGTGTGGTGCGATTCACCAATTCCCGCAGTGAGTTGTCAACTCCACTGCTCGCGCAATCATCCCACCCATCCACCCGCAACTTGGTTCGGCGGCGATTGCGCTGAGTGCTCGGTGTTGACTGGCGCACCTCTGCGGCCGCGCTAGCCCGCGCATGCTCGCGCGCGCAGCGGCCAGCCAGTTTGGTGCGACCGACGCGGCCGAGTTGGCGCTGACCGCTGGGCATTTCCCAGTGGGCAATTCAGTGCGAGTCAGCGATTTGGGCGGGCGCGGAATCATGGCAACTTCGACAACGGTAGGCACGATGAATTAGCGATGCTGGTGACGATGGTGTCAACGACGACGGCATGGCCAGTGACAGTGCCGATGTTGATCACGCCGACGACGATGACGGCATCTTCGCGTCAGTGATGAAGGTCCTGGAAGGTGTTTGACATGCGCGCGTGGCCGACGCACGAAAATTGCCCGCATGGTATCATTGGACACGGATCGTACCCTCCTCCTAGCACGCGCGCAAGGGCATTCGACTGATTTCGACATGCGGCGCGAGAGGCCTGTTTGGCCGAATGTAATGAACATGTTGGCTAAAACAAGCATTACGTGGTTTCGCAGTCTTTCGCAGGAGCGCGAGCGCAGTTTTTGCTTGTTTGTTAGAAAAATTGTTGCAACACATTTTCGGTTCGTTCGATTCCGAAATCCCCACGGAACCTTCGATTTTTCCAACATTTCGCCATGCGCGCGCGACGACGCGAGGGTGTGCACTTCGCTTTGTTCGGCAAGGGAATCTCGCGACAGCGCGCGCGCAAGGGCGTTCGAACGATTCCGACGTGGCCGCACGAAAGGCCCTTTTCAGTAGTATCTTATGGGATTTTTGAAAATATATGGTTTCTTCTGCAATTCGCAAGCGAGCGAACGCACACATTATAATTTAACGGGTAATGCTCGTATTGTAGTCTTCATTTTCCCCAAACACGTTTTCTGGACGCTCGGTTTTGAACTCCCTACGAAAGTCACGGTTTTTGGGGTATTTCGGTTTGCGCGCACGACGGCGCGCGCGTGTGCACATCGTTTTGTTTTTGTTGTTGTTGTTGTTCTCGTCGCAACGGTTTTTGAACGTTGATGAGCTGTGATCAACGAGTGTGCGCGCACACCGTTTCCTCCAGAGGGTGAGGGGGGGGGAATGCCGGCCTGGCTGAGATTGTATGGATTCGTTTTTGGGTGGGGCGGAATCATGTTGGGAAATTGCCATGCGCAAAGGTGAGCGGTTAAGTCCGTGTGGGGGGGAGGTAGGTTCTATTATTCCTTTAGAGCGGGGAATCTGCGTGATACAAGCTATGTGGTGTAAACTACGCGGTGCGTGCTATGCGGTGCAATCTATGTGGTGCGAACTGTGTTTTGTCAGGTACGTGGTGCGATTCAGTGGTATGAACTAACGTATGACGTGATCTATGACGTGTAAACTACGTGGTGTCATGTATGATGTGCGATCTATGGGATGCGAGCTACGTGGTGCAATCTATTTGGTGCAATCACTAGCTGCTCCACTCGAATCAGTTGCGGGTGGGAGGGTGGGATGTTTGCACTGCTCGTGCAAACGTTCCACCCTCCCACCCGCAACTTGGTCGCAAGACCTCTTGAAACCGTTACGGTAGGTACCAAATGGAAGTTGGCAGCGACACCGACGCCGACGACGGCAGCGACAACGACGACGACGACGCCGCCGACAACGACTACGACGACACCGACGGCGTCTCCAACGACTTCGGCGACGACGACGACAACGACGACGACGACACCGACGACGACGACGACGCCGACGGCGACGACGACGACGACGATGACAATGCCGCCGACGACGACGACGCCGACGGCGACGACGACGACGCCGCCGCCGACGACGACGACGCCGACGACGACGACGAAGACGACGACGACGACGCCGCCAACGAAGACGACGACGAGGGGGAGGGAGGACGACGACGGCGACAACGACGACAGCGACGAGGCAGGAGGGAGGACGTCGACGACGCGAGCGAAAAAGGAAGGAAGGGGGGCGGCGACGCCGACGACGACAACGACGAGGGAGGAGGGATGACGAAGACGACGACGACGGCGACGAAATAGGAGGGACGACGACGAGACTCCGACGACGGACGACGACGACGACGACGAGGGAGGAGGAAGGACGACCACGGCGACAACGACGACGGAAACGACGATGACGCCAAAGAGGACGACGACGACGACGACGAGGAAAGACAGAGGACGACGACGGCGACGACGACGACGACGACGACGACGAGAGAGGAGGGACGGCGACGACGACGACGCAAGAGCGCGTGCGTACGTTTTTGTTGAAAATCTGTGTTGCGAAACTCTGTGTTTTTGCATGTTTCTTGGACATTCGATTTTGAAATCCATCCGAAACCGAAGGTTTTTGGAGGATTCCGGCATGCGTGCGCGGCGACGCGCGCGCGTGCACTTCGCCCTATTGTTGGCAGAGGATTCTCGCGATTTCGACATGCGCGCGCGCGAAACCCGTTTGGTAGTTTTTTGTTTGAAAATCTTGAATAAACTTATCGCAAGAGCGCGCGCGTAAGCTTTCTTAGAAAGTCAGTGTTGCGAAACCCTGTGCTTCCTGTATGTTTTTTGGAAACTCGATTTTATAATCCTTCCGAAGCCGAAGGTTTTTGAAGGATTTCGGCATGCGCGCTCGACGACGCGCGCGCGTGCACTTCGTGTTTTTCTTGGAAGGGATTCTTGACAACTTCTGATTTGTGATAACTGAGCGTGCGCGCATTTTTTTTTGCAAGAGGATGTCGGTGGGGGGGGGGGGGGGCGATACTGGTTTGGCTGGGATAGTGTGAATTCACAGGTCGGATGGATGTGTTTTGCATCGGTTCCCAGGGGGTACTTAACCCCGGGGGGGGGGAGGGGGGTAGAACGAAAGGAGAATCCATGTGGTGCGATCTGTGTAGTGTAAGCTATGTGGTGCCCTCTTCGTGGTGCAACGCATGCAGTGCAACTTTTGCGGTGCGAACTATATTGGTGGTGCAAACTATGCAGTGCAATTCTATGTGGCGTGAGTTTTCAGTAGGAAGCAACGCAAAGGCATGCAAAGCAATGCAACGCATTAAGAAGGAAGGCGATATAATGCCGAGCGCTGCCAAGCAGTGCAACGCAACGCTATACAAGGTAATAAGCTGTAGGGCAATGCGAACCAGTGCAATGCAACACACATATAGCAATGGCATTCTATGCAATGCATTGCTACGTAACGCGCGTCATTGCAAAGAACTGCAAAGCAATGCAACGCAATGCAAAGCACTGCAAAGCAATACAAACAATGCCAAGCAATCTTACGCAATGTAACGCAACGCGAAACGGAGCAAATCCGTCAACAACAATGCACAGTAATTCAACGCAATGCAAAGTAATGCGCAGCTTTGCAAGGCAATGTCAAGCAAGGCAAAGCAATGCAACGTCATGCATAACAGTTCAAAACACGGCCGACGGCGAGCGCGGAATCGCCCGTCCGACACCCAGGCCCAGACGACGGGCGACGGCGGCCGTGGCGGGTCTGTATAGGATTATGTACAGTCCGTGCCGGATCTGTATCGGGTCCGATGAAATTCCCAGCTGGAGTTTGCTTCGCCTTTGCGGACCTGCATCAACGTTTTCAAACTGTCATGGATACTCCTCGGTCTTCTCACGTAGGGATTCCCAGGGATCCCAGCGTTGACCTTGTTCCCGTTGTTCCCTACCCCACCCAACCAGCACGGGGACGCGACGCCAGCCTTCACCACTAGGGGAGACGGGGGGGAGGCGTTCCCGGCACACGGGGGCGCCAAGCCGGCGACACCCAGGGGCGCCAAGCCAGCCTATTTCTTATTGTTGTTGAACCGTCATTTCTAAAGAATAATTGTTGTTGATCCCCACCCTCCGGTAACCCGAGTATTTTTTAACTAAAGTGTTTCTCCCCGGGCTCCAACCGTGTTTTTTAGAAGGGAAGGTGAGGGGTCGCCAATCTGCCCTGGCCTGATACTTCCTCACAATTGTTATTCCCAAATCGCGTTCTCGCGCGGGATTTCCTCTCAACTTATACAGAAAT